TGTTAAAAAAGACAAGAGAGCTGAAGAGTTAATGCAATGTATTTACTTTGCTGTATTCATGGTATTCTAAAAGAGAAAGATACTTTTACTACTGTTGTATAGAGGGAGGAAACAGAGACTTAAAGAAAATGCATCATTCAAGCAATCCAATAAACAGATCTAGAATTTGAGTACACATTGTTCAATTTATGTTATATATACATTTCATTTCAATATCAAACAGATTTTTACTTTTAGGTCACTTTTCCATTAGTTACAGGCATAAGAAAAAGGAAACAATAGACAAATTTCAACACAGCAGAAGATCTGCCTAATGTTGCAACAGATGATCTGCCTAATATTATTGATTGATTTGATTTGATTTGATTTCTATAGCTGTCCATCTAAATCAGTGGCTGGGCAGCTTAGAATTCTGAAAATATTGAACAATTAAAACAATAAAAAATATCATATGAGGTGTGTTCTCCTTGATATATAGGAGATAGTGATTTCATTCCTCATTAACTTCTTAACTAATGATCAAGTTCAAGAACTTTTTAATATATCTCTTTGAATTTCTTAGTGCTTGGGCTAAAAAGAAGGAATTGGCCTTCACCAATATCTTCCTCTGCAAAACATTCCCTCATCTCCTGCAATCCCTTATGCTAAAAGAACCCAGTAGTCCTGGATTTAAACCGCGGAGACTCTGGTTTGAATCCTCCCACAATCACAGAGCTCGTGGGGTGATTTTTTTAATTTTAAAAAACAGTCTTTCTCTCGTGTTCAGTTTATATTTACTGACAAAGAAATAAAGGGAGACTAGTATAGATCTGTTTCAAGCTATTTAGCTCTCATCAGCTAGCCAGTCAACACAAAAATAGTTTTGTCGTGAAAGCAACTGCCTGCGAAGGCTCCTGGATTGGGACTGAAAGGCGAAAGCGGAAGCAGTATGCTCCATCCCATCATTGGGTAAACCAAGTTGCCCTGATAGACCGGTCTCACCGGGAAAAAAAACACTTAGTCTTTCTCTCACTCAGATCAATCTAGATTATTTTGGGGATATAGTCACAAAAACCATACTCTGCTCTGGAGAAAAATAGGAAAATAAATGCAATCTGGTAATAAAGGCTTCTGTACCTCCCACTGCATACCAAGAATGATTAAAAGTTGAAAACTTTTGCCCAGGATGCTTATAACAGGCTGAAAGGATGATTTTCCTGCTGTTTGCTTTGCTTTGCTTTGCTTTGCTTTGCTTTGCTTTGCTTTGCTTTGCTTTGCTTTGCTTTGCTTAGTTCTGCTCTGCTCTGTTTTGCTTTGCTTCTATCCTATCCTACCTTATCCTATCCTATCCTATTCTTTGCACCTTTAAGACAGCACAGATGTTCAAGCCCTAATCTCAGTTTTAAAAGATGATTTTGCTACATGCTTCACCAATTCTGCACACAGGAATTCAAAATCAGAATAACAATTGCATACATAAATCATCTTAGAAAACCTGTCAGCCTTCCCAGGTAGACCGACAGGAAACAGGACTGGATTAGCTAATTATTGTCAGGCTACATTAACAGAATCTTGCAAGTCTGAAAAATACAAATCTCCCACCATCTCCTTTACAGCCTGATAACCCAGAAAGGAGTCCCTTCTGAGCCTCTTTCTTCACCCATTATGCAGCTTTGGGCTATGCTTCCTCTTATCTGACCATTCCTTAGGCAGCATCTCTTCTTCCCTCCCAAGGCCATTCCCATATATACCATTACATCCCCCACTGCAAAGCTGCCATCTAGTTGCCTTCTCTGGATTATGCAAATCACAGCAGACACTTCGAATGGAAAAGAAACAAATGTAGCAATTGTGTTATGCATGCCCTATTTGGGAGGACATGGTCTGACTGCTTCTTCATGATGGTCTTGGTCTTTGATTCGACAGGAAAATTTCGGGAAGAATTTAAAGCTGCTTTTTCTTGCTGCTGCTTTGGTCTTGGCCATCACCAAAACGCCCCACCCAGAGGAAGAAGAAGCATGGACAGTCGGAAGTCCCTGACTACCCAGACCAGCAATTTTGATCATGCTGCAAAGCTCTCAGAACATGTTGCCTTGACTGGTATAGTCTCACTGCCCACAAATGGCCCTGGATTTATTGGGAGCTGAAAAATGGCTACTTTCTGTGATGAATCATTGTCAATCAATCTGTGAATCCAGGGACCAAAAACTTTGAAAACTGCAAAGTGAAATAACAAATTATAACAAAGATAAAATAGTCTAATATACAAAATTGGATGATTTAAAAAGAAAAGGAAAGAAAACAGAACTTTGTTTGGAAATGTATGTGATTTTTTCCTAGCATATACTATTCAACTGTAAGAAATGATGATTGGGAGACACATATGCACTCATTTTCATTGGTATGATCTGCTGATGGGCTTGGTTCCTGCCCAAAAAATGTTTCCTTGTAAGATTTAAATTACCAATAATCAAAAGGAATTGACCAAGGAAATTTACGAAATAATACAAAGAAATGGTAGAGGAAACATGTAGTGTGATTTTTTTAATGCTTTTATCAGTGGCCATAGGAAGAGTCTGTATTTTCCCTGTGTAAATGCATTTTGTGTGTGCATGTAAGTTCTTTTGCTATCCTATTCTTTGACATTTCTTATGCCCCAGCAAGTTGGATCCCATTCCACTCTGTTCTCGGAGAGTTAAACTGACAGACAAGCAGATTAAGACCTAAATCCCTTATCTTTCTTTCAAACTTTTGCTTACAATGTAAACAATTAAAAAAGGTCAGGTCATTTCTTCCTTTCTCATTTTATACCAAAATTTTAAGGATGTCCTGTTGGTTAATGGTGAACTTATTCTTCATGTCTGGTAGCTTGTGTAATCCAAACAGATGAATATGCTGGAAATAATAAGCAAAGAAAATGCTACTTGTAAGAGTCATTCACCTTACTTTGGAAAGGGGCTCACTCAGAGCAGAAGGACCAACAGCATTTTGGCATCCTGGCCCAGGCATCTGAAAGGTCAGAAATGCCTCTTTAAATTGCAATTGGAAATTAATACCCAGTCCTGATACCTTGTATGCTTTAGCTTCTATTTGCTTGGAATGCTGTCTAAATAAATAATTACTCTAATTGCCTAATGCTGTATATTAATATTTCTTTTTTAATTTTTGATGAACATAAAATCAGAGAACCTAAAGCTTTTAGGAAGGAAGAGAGAGAGAGAGACAGAGAGGGAGGGAATGAGAGAGGGAGGGAGGGAGGGAAGGAAACAGATATAGATAGATGGGAGATACATAGATGTTAGATAGACAGATAGAGATAGATAGAATACAAATAGATTGCAATAGATATAGAGATGATGATATAGATAGATGATAGATGATAGAGATAGATAGATAGATAGATAGATAGATAGATAGATAGATAGATAGATAGATAGATAGATAGATAGATAGATGATAGATAGATAGATGAAAGATAGATGATAAATAGATAAAAGATAGATAGATGAGAGATAATAGATAGATAGATGTCTATGGAGATTTTCAGTCATCTAGGTCATAGTTGTCTCAAAGGTGCCTTTTCAAGAATCAACTGGACTTTCTTTATTTTTCCTTGAAGATGTTTCACTTCTCATCCAAGAAGCTAGCTAGTCCAGTTGCCTCTTGAAAAGACACCTTTAGGACATGAGAGAGAGGGGGGAGGGAGGGAGGGAGGGAGGGAGGGAGGGAGGGAGAGAGAGAGAGAGAGAGAGAGAGAGAGAGAGAGAGAGAGAGAGAGAGAGAGAGAGAGAGAACATATATCATTAACACAACAGATCTTCAAATATCACCTTCAAAGACCTTGTAAAGACCTTTACACAAGTAAATTAAACATATTTTCATTTTTATAGTTTTTCTAGCAATAAGCAATATCTATCTCACACATTCCCAAATGGAACTGTATATGGAACTGTTTTGACCTGCTGCCCAAACTTCATTTCTTTCACTTCCACTTGATTTATATAATAACAATTCAATAAAAACTTTTTTTTGTTCTTTCCAGAATTCCTGCACTAAAATTCTATTGCACAGAACTGGATTTGAATGACTTGTTTTCCTCCATATTTCACATTCCCTACAGCTTTATAAGAATCTATGTCCTTCCCAGCTCACCTTCTCCAGATTTTGGACCAACATTCAATGCCCTTGAACATTTCCTGTTGATTTAGAATTATGAGAATCATTGACTAATCAAATCTAGAGAACTGTTGCTCCTCTGCTGTTGTAGAATGATGCTTATATGTGCCTTTCCTCCCACATTTACATATTGTTTTCCCTCTATGGTTATCAGCCTGGCAGCACAGTACACAATGCAGCAGATTTCACATGTTTCAGTAATAAATTATGCCCTTGGACTTTTGCCTGCTTTCAGCCTAGAGAAGATCTACTTCTCTTTTAATAATCAGTAGTTTTTCTTCAGGACCATGAAATCTCAATCAGCTGGACCACAATTTTGGCTTAGCATGATGTGCAAGCCCAATTCAGGTGATTAGCTTATGGATCAGTGTGCTGTTTGAACCCCAAAAATTGGCTTCAGTTTTATTTAACTGCATGTAATGTGTTCATATGTCAAGTGAACATGGGCTGGTGAATTATAATGAAATTCAAGCACAGAAGGAAATTCAGGAATCCAGCCAAAGGCGAATTGGCTATTTTCCTGGCTTTAATGAAAGAGTAGATCGTTATTCAGCAAGCATATTTGATCAGCGGTTGGCTTTTTCGTCGCTTGGACCTCTCCGACAGGTGTGAAAGAGAGAGAGGCTGTACTATCTCTCCAGCAAACGCAGAGCCGGGAGGCGGGAAAGCGGGCGGGTGTCCCGCCGACTCTGATTGGATCAACCGCAAGCGTTTGCTGCGAGCGGAGCGCTGTCCGACGGAGCTTGGTACTGAAATGATTCCTCGTGTTTAAAGGGAGACTTCGGAGAGGATTAAAAGGCAACAGGTAGTTTGCTGTGCTCAGTCTACCTGGAACCTCCTCAGCCATGAAGTCCATTCTGTTCGTCGCTGGTAAGTTTGCTCTAGTTTAACAGGAGTCTCTGTTTCTCTCCCTCTCCCTCCCTTATCTCATCCACCTCTATCTATGATCTCTCTCTCTCCCACTCTCCCCCCCCCATTTATCATATTTATCTATCTGCTATCTCATCTAGATATCATCTCACCTATATTTATCTATATCTATCTATCTATCTATCTATCTATCTATCTATCTATCTATCTATCTATCTATCTATCTATCTATCTATCTATAACTGGGATGATTCCCAATTATATTTGCTAGGATTGCAGCCTTACTTGCCTGCTCAAGGGGTAAAAAGAATCACCTTGTGCAGAGATGGGCAGCAAACAAATTTAACAAACAAAAACATTAAAAAATAAATAAAATATTGGGCAGCATCAAAATGTGTGCCCAGTGTGTGTCTCTATAACTTTCCCAATTGCACTGAAAATAATAATGGGTAGTCTATCTATTATCTCCAAGATCATTTTCTTTCCTGTCACTTTCTCTCCTTCTTCCCCATTCTATTTTAACATGATAAAAAGAAACAATGGCCTTAATTAATTTTTTTTAAGCCAGTTTGGACTAGTGGTTTAAGCACCAGCCTTAGGTATGAAAGGCAGCTGGGTAATCTTGGACCAGTCACTCTCAGCTCTGGGAAGCAGGCAAGGACAGATCTTCCAAGAAAACTGCAGTTGCCAAGAGTTAAACAATGACTTGAAGACACCCAAAATAACTTTTTAAAGGCTAATGTATAAGCTTGTATGACCCTTAGGGTAGAACAGGATTTAAAATATAAATAACCAAATTATTCTGTTTGTTTCCCCCCTCAATCCTTAATTACACTTTCCTTATAGTTGCAATTATTTTCTGTCTACCTATAGTTTTCATTTATGATCTGATAAGACAATAAGTAATTAGCTCACACAATCCATCAAACCCAAAGGGCTCAAGGAACACTCCTCCTAAGGTTCTAAAATTTACCATATTCAGACTTACTACAAGGTGTTGTTGTTTTTTTTTTTGCCTTTGTTTTGTTTTTTGGAGAGAACCCCATGAGTTATATACATTTCAAGAGGATCGTGGAAATACAGTCAAGATGAGAAAGAGAAGCTATGTGCAAAGATTGTCTTTTTGTGTTTGTTTTACTTCCTCCCCCTATTTCTTTTGGGAGCTTTTTCATTGGCTAGATTCAGATCCTCAGATGTTTGTCTTCAGTTAATATAATCTGCATGGAGGTGAAAAGCAGCAAACAAGTTCAGGGAATTCAGTGAAGGAAGGGTTTCACCGTCATAGTCAATATTTCATGTTGTGTTGGAGATAGAGTTGCTATTCAGGCCAGCACCCATTTCAACTGCAAGCCACACGATTCAGAGGCCAACAAAAATGTTAGAGTAAATGTGTTCTTTCTGCATGAGTAGCTTTCTTGTGCCCAGGGCTACAGCTGCTGTGTAAAGCCTTTAAATGCTTTCTGGCTCTAGACACTTCCCGAGTCATTTGTGCTTCTTGTTCTTAGAGGCCGTGTCTGATTGGAACAGCTCTCATCTATCCCTGGTAAGGTTAGAAACAAGTTATTGATGAACAAGTACTAACTTCATGCTGCAATACCATCCCCAGAATAGTGTTTCCTTGGTTTTATGATATTTTCCTTTTGGGAGACTGCTTTTTGCTAGAGATGTCATCTATATTTAGTCAATATATTTCAGTGGATGTGCTGACCTACTCAAACCTATAAATATCCAGTAGACATGGAAGTGGAAGCCTTGTTTAAACAAATGTTTGCAAAGTAAAAAGCCTAAGAGCATGCAAGGCCACAAAATAATGATTGCTACAATTAGTAATTTTTCTTTTTTGGCCAGGCATGAAAAAAGGAAGGAAGAATTAGCGAATATAGGCATACAGAATGCATTAATGTAAGACTGAAAGGATATTTTGTGTCTTAGCTTCCTTTCTCTCTTGGTTAGCTACAGGTTTAAAACAGCAGTTTTAAATAAATCCAGAAAACCTGATTAAGCCGTGTCACTCAGCTCACTGTAACCTGCGAGTGAGTTTTACCAAACCCTGATTTAAAAAAATAAAAACAAAACAATTTTCCAACCAGTTGTCTTGGAATTTCATTCCTACAATACAATCCCTAATGGTAAGATGAGAGGGGAAAAAATTTAATAAATAAATAAATAAATACTGGACAGAATGGCAGTGCCCAGGGATTGGTACCTAGTTGGACAAGACTAATATCATATCATATCCCTATTTCATTAGGCATTTTGGGAAGCCCTTCAGACAACTGTATGCTTAAAAAAACATACCAAGCAAACATTAGCAAAATCTATTCAGATTAGGCAAATTGGATATATCATATAATTTTGTTCTATAAGTCGGACCAAGATTCAGTTAGAAAATCACATTTGTTGCACCAGCAACAGCAGGAAATGTCAATATATAACCCATGTAGACTGCTATATACCCATGTAGTAGTCCAAGGATGAACCTCTTGAGGGAGCTCATTGATGTAGAATTTCCTTCTACTGTATTTCTAACCCAGACCCCAAACCTAATGGGGCAGGTAGTTCCCTAATGCAAATAGTTCATTGCTGCAGGTGCAGCTTCATCAAAGGTAAATGATGGTTCTTACTTAATGATTTGCAAATGGGCATCTGCATTGTTACTCAAGAATCTCTTTGGATTTTCTTCAGAACAGATATGCACAGGACTGAGCTGTAATTGAAAGCGTGTCCTATGAAAAATTCCCATAATTGCAGTTTTTCCAGGCTTCTTTCTTTTAGGGAGGGTTTTCCTATCAGTTTAATGCCTCTTTGATAATAATTCATCAGGACAGCATCAACCTGGGAAAGTCCTGATAACTGTACTGGAAACCAAGCACAAGAGACGTTAACTAAAATCAAAAGCAGGATGGAAAACAAGTTGCTAAATGTGGGAGTGAGTTCGGTATCTTTAAGACACTAATGAAGATTTAGTCTCCAATCCATGGGGATATATGGAATAGAGAAGATGGATGAGATGGAGAGAGAGAGATGTGTGTGTGTGTGTGAGAGAGAGAGAGAGAGAGAGAGACAGAGAGACAGAGACAGAGACAGAGAGACAGAGAGACAGAGAGACAGACAGAGACAGAGAGACAGCGAGAGAGAGAGAGAGAGAGAGACAGAGAGACAGAGAGACAGAGAGACAGACAGAGACAGAGAGACAGCGAGAGAGAGACAGAGAGACAGAGAGACAGAGACAGAGACACAGAGACAGAGACACACAGAGAGAGAGAGACAGAGAGAGAGAGAGAGAGAGACAGAGACAGAGACAGAGACAGAGACAGAGAGACACACACACACACACAGAGAGAGAGAGAGAGAGAGACAGAGAGACAGACAGACAGACAGACAGACAGACAGACAGACAGAGACAGAGAGACAGCGAGAGAGAGACAGAGAGACAGAGAGACAGACAGAGACAGAGAGACAGCGAGAGAGAGAGAGAGAGAGAGACAGAGACAGAGAGAGACAGAGAGAGAGAGACAGACAAACAGACAGACAGACAGGAGATATATATATACAGTTTGTTCTCCCTTTCATCTATTCCATCCTGTGCATATCAATTTAATTGCAGTTCTTCCCATTCCTGGTCAACATGTCCCTATTTATGTTAGTTAAGGATGGTGCGAATTATAAACTATTCATTTGGGAAAGGAACTGAGCCCAGTGGAACCCACATATTATATCTCTGTTTTCTCAGTAGCCTGATATTTTTAAATTTGGTGTTGTCTTGTGCCTTTTACAAGGTTTTTTTTTTCTCTTATTATTATCCATATGTGTTGTAAGACACCCAGAGTTATCTGGTGAAGATAACTGGCCATGTACATTTGGTTGATCAATAAATGAATAAATCAGAATAAATAGCTAACATACTGAATAAGTGTAAATGAACCACACTTTAATCAACTTATATTGCCTGATTTGCAGTGCTGGTTCTGTATTCCCTGAATGCGTGTGCCTGCCAGGCACAGACGTCAAAGTGTCAACAATTGAAAGAGAGATGTGTGGCTGCAGGAAATGGATGCGAAAGTGTCTGGAATTTACTTGAAGAAGTTTGTTACATTTCAGGTAACTTGTATAAAGCCATATAGTGCGGAAAGAGCATTTCATACAACTTCTGTAAACATTTATATGTAGAACAAAAGAAAAAAGGAATTGCTCTTAACAGATCCCAAGAGGAAAAAAAATCCTCTGGTTCAAATTATAACTGTGAATATCCCAGGCATTTGTTTTTTTAGTAAACAAAAAAAAAAGCTGAACCAATCACTATCTTTAGATCAAAAATTGAAGGGAAAAACTTTTCCACCCAAAAGTTTCTTTTGTATTACTCCCACTATTCCGTAATAAAGGAAACAATGAGGAAAAGTCTGATTTGGGCAAGATTATATCTCTGGCCTTTTAGCTGAGTAGCTGAGTCAATTTTATGACCAAGCCTCATGCTACCTGTAAAAGAAAGGTACACCGTTTAATACAACTCCTAACCAGCTGAAGAGTAGACTGAAGTCTTGTTATTTTTCTAATTAAATGTTGAACACCATCCAATGTGCCTCTGAACTGTGACCTCTCTGTCTCTGAGCAACCGAGAAATGTTGCACAACCCTAAAAATCCCCCCTTCCCTTGGCTGGAGGACTTTTATAGACTTTTGCCCTGATTTGTAAAACTTGATAAAAACTGTGGTAGGTAATTGTTTACATCTTTCAGGGGTAGTTCATGTCACAAGAAGATTTTTAATGGCATACATTAACACCCTCTTGGATCTTCATCCAAAATTTTAAATTTGGTCCAATCTAAATATAGTATATAAAATCATACATTGCAATGTCCTACCTGTCAATGAATAGTTCAGCTTCAACCATAACAACACAAGAGCAAACAATAGATACAAACTCAAGGTTAATTGCACCAAACTTGATTGCAGGAAATACGACTTCAGCAACAGAGTGATCAATGTCTGGAATACTCTACCTGACTGTGGTTTTTTTTCCCCAAACCCCAAAAACTTTAATCTTAGACCTTCTACTATTGACCTCACCCCTTTCCTAAGAGGTCTGTAGGAAGCGTGCATAAGTGCACCAACATGCCTACCGTCCCTGTCCTATTGTTTCTTTTATTTTTCTTATATGTATCCATGTATTCATAACTATGTTTTTACTTATACCTATTATCTTGTAAGCAGTTGACAAACCAAATAAAATAAATAAAAAATAAATAAAATTGTAGAAGTAAAATGTTGAGTCTTGATCGTGTCACAGATTTTTCTTAGAAAAATGAAATGCTGATTTTCATAAACATATATATATATAGTAACAGTATTGTATTTCCAAAATCTAGGCAACAGCTGTGCAATAAAAGATTCAACCAACTGTAATAAAATAATTCAGTTTTTAGTTGACCAGTTCCCAGAATTTAAAGACTGCATCTGCATAAAAGATAACTGCAGCATCAGAATGTGGCTGGGGAAAAAATGTTCCAATGACAAAGGTAACTGTCGGCTTTTTGCTATCAGATAAAATAAGAGTGTTGTATAATGGTTTTGTGCTAAGAAAAAAAAAACACTTCTCACTTTAAGGAACTCATCAAATCAAGCAATCATATGATTATATCAACCAACGTCTAATTAGAAACTTCATGGCTCTTGTAAGCACTTGTACTGGACTTTAGCTTGCTACCCCCCTCAAAAAAATGATCACATTCATAAAAATGAATATTTTGAAGTCATTTCTAAATTACTACTTAAAACAGCATGCAGATTAAAGCCTGCCAGATGCATATTCTAACTTCTGGAATTGCAAAACCACCCCGAACAGAAGCCCATTAATTCCAGCAATAGCTTCTAAATCAGCCATTTTTATACAGGGTACAGCAAGAGAGGGAGAAAATGGTCGAATGTCTAGAAATTGTTCAGCCGAAGTGGAGGAGAAACGTTGCAGAGAAAGGCAATTCTACGGACCAAGTTGTAATTAAACAGCTCTCTGGAAAAAAAAAAGAAAAACAGCCACTTGGACAGTATTTGAGTGGAATAAAATCTGTAAAAAAAGAAAGTGCCTTATTCTCTCACCTGTCCTCTTGAACTTTTATTATGACCATTAAAGGGAGCCCTTGTGAGGAATAAAGAACAGGCAATAGACAGCTGCAGCGTCTGTGAACGAATGTCATCTAATGCAGGGCTCTCCAACCTTGGCAACTTTAAGACTTGCGGACTTCAACTCCCAGAGTTCCTCATCCAGCTTTGCTTTCTTTTTCTATTTTCTTTCTTATTTTTTCCCCCTGGTTCCTTGTTTTATTTTTCTCTTCAAGGGTTTGTATTGGTTTGATCTTGTTAAAAATTTCTTCAATAACTATTATATCTTAGAGAGAGAGAGAGAGAGAAAGAGAAAAAGCAGTGCTTCTGAGAGTTGGATGGCCCCTCTCCTATTGGCCTTCTAGAAAGCCTTAAAAATTGGGCAATGGATGATTGGATGACCCTGTTTAGGAAATGGTTTTAAGATGGGAACAGTCTGGCATTTGGCCTTGATTGTGTTATGTAATTGTCTTAACTCTGTTTTTATTTTGTTTCGTCTTTAAATCCTATGTTAACTGACCAGACTCCCATTTTGCAAGTGGAATAGACTAGTCATATAAACTGCAAAACAAACAAGCAGACAACTTTGGGCTCCAGAGTGCCACTGAAATGAAAGCCCTATCATTGCAATCTCCTGAATCCTTATCTAGCACCTGTTACTAAATCTGGCAGCACCACTTTCTACTGTTGTCTTCATTTTTAAGCAGGAAACACTCTAAATGGTGGCACAGGGCCTCGTTCATGTCTTCCTAAGCCTGGAGGAAATATCTAAAAGTTTTCTGGCTCAGCCTACCTACATGACATGCCCTCACCTTCCTTCCACCCTTGTACCACCTGCTGTATTTTCCTGTCACCCAAGCAAATTCAATCCATATTATCAATATCCTCCTCCTCCCTCCTCAACTGTCCCTGCTGCAGCATCACAGGAGATGCTCTGTCAGTGCTGCCATCCTGCTTCACCCCATCAATATGCAGATGCCAGAACTGCCATGCACTTCAGAGGGGAGGAAGCTAATAAGAGGGGGGGGGTCAAGAAACAGGAAAACAAAAACCATAACCAAATGCCTGCCAGGGGTATGAGCTAATCGACCCCAAGGTTACAACCAAGGGAATGGAATGCAGACCATCACTGAGCCCACCAAAACCTTGGGACTTTTACCAAAACAATTTATTTGAATCTAATTGGGCACCTGAGAGGTAACTGGGGAGGGAGAACCTGGGAAAGAGGAAAGTAATTAGTCAGCTTTTGTGCTCAAACCTCAGATCTGTTTTTTTGTTTTCTATCCTGTAACCACTTGGCTTTCGTAAAGTTATTGTTCTGACCCAAGCCTTGTTCAAATCAAATAAACACAAAGTTTATATAAAATATAAAATCAACATAAAAGCAGACCTTTTAAATGCATCTCTGTGAATTCTGTTCATTCACAGCAAAGAGTCATTAAAACTAATTGTCCCAGGTAATTAGTTGCCCTATTATTTGTAACACTGCCAAGAATACAAGATTAAATGCAGAGAAATATTCCAAACCAAAAAATATCCAAACACAAACCAGAATAGACAGGACTTCCACGAGAACTTGGAGTTGAAAGAACTTCTTTGCTTCCTGCAAAGAAGCCAACCCCGAAGGCTGGCTTTTATCCCTTATGGGAGGAGCCATCACCTTGCAGCCTTACTCCCAAGTCTCCCGTGCTGTTTCAGCTGCTCTTTCCTTTGAGAAGTCCTGTGCATGCACGCACTGAGCACAGAACCCCGGGATCCTCTTTGTCAGTTCTGCCAGACTCCACAAGCTCCAAAGGCAGCACCCCACTCTCCGATAGTCCTGGCCCCATCCCTGCATCACACACAGGGCCCTCATCTGAGTCCTCGCTCTCAGAGACCTCAGCCGTCTGCACCTGCTGCCGGCAAGCTACAATAGTTATTCTTTCACTACACGTGCATTCAAAAGCTCTTCCTTTCTAAGCCACTGAGTCGGGACAGATCTGACACATCATCCCTGACAGTCTGACACATTTTTTTTGTAGACATAGATAACAAAGAAAAGAAATCAATTAAGGCTGAGCTACACTCATCCTGAGGTCCCAAGAGCCTCATATGGCCATGACACTTCTTGGATGGAATTGATCCCAGAGACTTTCAAAACTGTTGCTAGACTGTAAAGCTGAGCATCCTTCCTAAATGCTTCCAAAGAATGTCTTGGTGCTCAGAGCACGTCCCTTATTATTATTATTATTATTATTATTATTATTATTATTATTATTATTATT